ATGGGTGCTGGAAACATCAGGTGCAGTCTCAGCATCCCCAGCATCTGGGCTACAGCTCCCGCTCTAGAGGCTGCGTGAATAACTTGCATTTCACTGGCATTTGCAAAAAATAAGCAGCCAACCATCCTGCCTCTAAGCCAATATATTCTTTCAATCTTGAGAGAAACATTTGCTAAAATTAAAAATCCTAAAATAGAAAAATGGTGAAAAAAAAAAAAACTACAGAGATCCAACTCTAGACAGGAAAAATGTCAAAGTGTAAATCATTCTCCTGTCAAAAACTGGTCAAAGGTAGTAGTGGTCTCCAAGACAAAGTGTAGGAAGAGGCAATGTTCAGCCTGCCCAGCAAGCTCCCGCGCTGTTTCAGCTGCACTATATGAATCCTATATGAGCTGTATTACACTCTGACCTAGACAGCCTGGCTGCAGCAGTTGCACGCTCTTACAGAAGTAGCAATGTCACTTCTGGTCACGTTTGTAACTCTCCTACATTACTTAATTTATATTATTTATACTTCTGCAACATTGAACATCTAAGATGCTATGGAAATAATAACAGCAATCAGCATATATAGATTTAAATTAGCCTTCAGTGTATATATGAACTGTAAAGTTTCAGAGATTAAATTAGATCCCTGTAAAACTGGATCTTTTGAGCTGTTGTGTTCTCTTTAGGAGGGAAAAATGAGCAGGGAAAATAGCACCTTCCCCATTTTGCACAAGCTCGCAGCTATGGAGAGGAAAATAGGAGCTGATGGTGCTGCCTGTTGGAGGAGGTACAAAACAGGCAGATATCAGTCTACTGAGCGTGCACACTGTATGGAATGTGGTTGTCCAAAGGCATATTTCTGCTTTAATGAGCCCTCCTGCAAGCGTGCAGTGTGCAAGTCAACTTACTGGGAACCACATTTGTTACAATGTGGTTCCCAATCCCCTTGCAATCCATCAGAATAAAGCCAAAGTACCACTCATATTGATTGTAGTGCAGGAGAAACCATATGCCCATACTGTGGTGCTGTACATCATCTCCAGCCAATGGCTTGGCATTTTCAAACAATATCTAGGAATATTTTATGGCAGCTACCAAAAATCAATGCGATTCAATGTAATTACCTGTAACATTTTTGAATTATAGCTTTTGAACTGGATTTGGAAAAGAAAAAAAAAAAAAAAGAAAAAGAAAAAGCAGCAAAAGAACTTGTGCTTTTTTGGGGTGTCAGCACAGTACTACACGCGACTCATCCTGCCCAGGGTTTGTCAGACTGAGCATCCAGGCTCTGCCACGGTCAGCGCAAGGTGTAAGGAAGCACCAACGGGGCTGGAGGGATCCCAGGATAGATCCATCTGCGGATCCATCCCAGAGCTCCCAGCCTCAGGATGCATGGGCTGAGTGAGGCCTTCCTGCCGGGATAATGGGATGCCCCAGGTGTGGAGTCAGTGCCGCGAGCTCTGCCGGCTCCGCTCGCAGCCGCACGGCTCAGTCAAGGGGTTGCCAGTCTGAAGCCTCTCAGCAGCCAGCAGCCCTGCAGGGGACCTGACCTGTGTGCAACCTCCGCAGAGGCAGAGCTGCTCCAAAGGGATGTTCAGGAGCAAGAGCAAGAAAGGCACCTGGAAACTGCGGGGTTGGTAGGGCAGTCTGGGGCTTCTGGAGAACCGGGACCGCCAGTGTCCTCCTGCTCCGGCCAACAGCGCTCCTGAGCTTCACTTCTCTTTGCAATTGCCTTACTGGAAAGGGTTAAACCGGAATTAAACAGCCTGCAGCAAGGGACAGCTTTCCCTGGCAGAGAGAAGCTCACAGGCTTGTGCTACATCTCTGTTTGGAGGCATGTTTCCACTTTACTAAGATCTAATGATTTACATATGGAGGACTTAAGTTCCTGAGAGAGCCTAACATTTTATTGCTGCTCCTCACACTATTATTTCTGTTTCCATAAACTGCATTCACACAGAGTAATGGCAAATCCCAGTTTCGATAACTCAACCATGCCAACATCCTTTTTGCACAGGAGTCTGCAGCTCCCTTCACTCTGCAGCAGTAACAAATTACAGACTTTCACTTTCCTCTTGTCCTGCACAGTAAGTCTTGCCAGCAACCCATATAATCAGTCACCTCTTGAATCCTCTATCAACAGAACAGATCAGAAGACCATGAAAACCAACTGCCTCTCTTGCTGCAAAAAAGATATCAGACCCCTCCACTACTGAGAAATCAGCCCCAGCCCCTCCAGAAGCCTCTCTTCTATTTGGCCAGTAACTCATGTAGGGCTCCTAGAAACAGCCTGCTTGGGAATTAACCCGTTTCCAAATTGCTATTCCTTTATCGTAACGGCCACATCACTCAAGGTACTTTTCTTTAACCCAAAAGTGAAAGGCTTTTGGCTATTACCATTTTAACCTTCACTCCTTTCACCCTCTTCTCATCTACCAAACACTTGTGCAGGGCAAAGACAATCAAGAAAGACAGTGAGAGTTCAGAAACTACTTTTGATCAAGACCACGTGTAATTTTCAGCCTTAAGAAGTACCTAGTTAAAAGTTCGGTTTATCCAGTCTGAGAAAGGAAACACATAGTTACACAAAAGTTACTTGGACGCCCTTCCTCCAACTTTTCCTATGCACTGTAGATGCACATCCAGTTTCTCTTTGCTGAAATTTGCTTGCCTGACTATTAGGAGCTCATCTACCACAGGTTATTTGAGATTATACAGCAGTCTGCAATTCCCCAGCGCTTTATTCCATGTCTTCACCGCACTCCTTCCGCTACAGCTGGTGCTGCACTAAATGCAAGTGCTTCATTCACGCAAGTGAGCAGCTGCCAGGTAGATCCATACAGCTCGCAAGCCCTCGGCACCTTCCCAGTGGGGAGGAGCGCTCCGAACCACTCACGATCCCTAATGGGAAGCCCAGGGCTGGAGCAGCCGGGACACCCGGGAAGCTCCCAGCTGGCAGAAGGGTGAAGATGCTGCCTCGGGAGGTGGTTTCTGTCAGCTGACACTGCAGGGCTCCCTGCTCAGCCTGGAGGACAGAGGGGAGGGTCCAGGCACAGCCCCGAAAGCGACAGAGCCGCAGCAGAGTGCACAGAGGGCAGAGCCAGCTAAGGAAACTCAAAACGTGTCTGCCTGCAATAATCAATGCACTACAAGTTTCCCGAGGAACATAAAATATGTATCAGCTGTTATCCACTGCTTCTCTTACACTAATCTCTTATCAGTTCTTCCTGAAGGATATTATATTTGTTCTCTGAGTAAATACAGTTTTAAGTTCTAAATACATATACAAAAGCCACAAACTCCCTTAAAGCACATCTCTATATCCACTTTATCCCTATATTTACAATTTTTCCCCTTTGGTGATGCCCATCTGAGAAGGCTGCAGCTCTCAACCATTGCAAAAGCTTTTTGGTGCCGTGCCAGGCACAGCTGGCAGGAACCAGCTCTTCATCCCCACGGTCCAGACCAGGCCAGTCTGGGAGTGGTTACAGCAGAACAAGGAGGGCCAAGGCACATTGGCTGCTCCCAAGGGAAGGGCTCCCAGAAAATTCAAGCAGAAAGCAGGCAGCCCTCTCCCTCCTCAGGGCATCTGAAAACTTTAAAATACTACCCCAGGGCAACATGGCTTTGTGCCTGTCACAGCAGAAGTTTAGTAAAATGGTAAGGGGTGGATGTGAGTCTGTGAAAGGAAGCAGACACAGCAGATGTAGGGGAACTGCAGAGTCCCCACCCCATTATATTTCTTCCCTCATGCAAAAGCATCTCGGCAGATGCACTGCTGGAACCAGGCTCCTCAATCATCATTTTTGTAAAGAAAAGGGAACACAGACTAAAAAAAGTAAGAGCACCAGAGCAGAAGTTGGGAAATGATGAAAGAGGAGCATAGAGAGAGGAATCAGTGAGGTGCTTCCACATAGGCAGCATTAAAACAAAATGCAAAGAGAGTAGCAAAGCAGGTGCTTTGTCTGCTGTGTCACTCTTCTACTCCGGAGGGTCTCTGAGGCAAAACCAGAGTCTACATTTCTATTTGAAAATTAGGATATAGTGTATTCAGTAAACCAGCAACATTACCTTCTCACAGCAGGAACAACAGGAACACTTCTCTGTCCTCTAGGCAAAAAGTCTTTGGGAAAAGACTTCCTCTCTTCTCTCCCTGATAAAAGATCTCTACTTGCTTAATACACTCCTGCTCCTCACAGCAATGCAAATTTGGTTTCTTCCACTAACAGCTTTGCAGAAATAAGTGGTTAGTTCCTTCTGTTTTCCTCTCTACTCATTACAGATCAAGTCAGTTGATAGGTCTCTGGGGGAGGTAGAAGAGACAACATTCCCAGGAAGCTGGGGAAGGAGAGAAGTACTGATGGGCTTTGCTAAACTTTTCTTTTTTTTTTTTTTTTTTTTTTTTTTTTTTTTTTTTTTTTTTTTTTTTTTTTTTTTTTTTTTTTTTTTTTTTTTTTTTTTTTTTTTTTTTGATAAACTATCTGGCTGTGGAGAACTCTCATCTCTAGTTGATTATTTCATGCTGCTAGCTGGGAAAGTTCATTTATTTGTGTATTAGTACATACTGCTGCTAGCTGGTTATTTTCATTGCAAATTTCTGTACTGACAGTGATCTTAGAGCTTCTGTAGCAGCACTTTTTATTAGTGTTAAATCTGGATAAGTTGATTCTATCAAGTTTGTCTGTTTTCCATCCAATTTTCTGACTTTCACTGGGCCATGCAAAAGACAGCAGCACAGCAGCAGATGTGAACCTGGCAAGGAAGATTAACGTAAGAGAGGGTGGAAGTTTCCTGCTAGAAAGGAGGAGATACTGCATACTTCTATAGAAAAGCAGCAACTTCCAGCTGAATACTTTCTCCACTTCCTCCAACAGTGCTTTGGTGATCACATCTCTGCCAAGCTCCCTGCAGAAGCCAGCTGTAAATCCATACTTGTAGTCACTTCTTCCCAAGTCAAAGTCCTCACAAGTCAAGTTGTCAAATCAGTAACAACGTTTAATTTCCAGACCTACCTCCTGGACTTTGCTTTAATATCGTTCCTTCGCAAAGGTCTTTAGGATGCTCTGTCCAAGAAGAGCCACACAGGCACAACCCGCTCGGTGGTTAAATGGAGTCCAATTGCCTGCTCCATCCTGCTGGCAGTCACAGTACTCAGGTTTATCTACGTTTCAAGCGAGTACGAAGCCGTATGTACATGAGTAGCAAGGACAACATTATTACCTGCAAAGACAGGGGAAAAAAAAGGAAAAATGTCAGCTGAAAAGTAGTGGCTATAGAAAGCTTGTATGATAAGCCACAGAAGCCATTATTTTTATAATAAACATATATATTATGCTTGTATACTATTTCTAAACACTAAGAAGATGGGAAAAAAAATCATAAAAGGAGTAAGTCATGTCAGTGCATCCTAATTTCCTTGTGCAACAGGGTAACAGAACTTGTGGAGAGGATAAAAAGCATCGCATCTGAGGAGTCCGTGTCAAAAGTCTTGCTGAAATGAGGACTCACACAGCATTTCTACAAGCCAGCTGTGGAAGTGTAGGAGATACAGGACCTATAAGGCTCCTAAGAGGAGCTTTCATCCTGAGACACTCCAAGAGAAAGGAGGTGACGCGCAGGGCTCAAGCTGCATGGGGCTCTTGCAGGGCCGGCTGCAAACGGAACAGACCTGTTGTAGCAGAGGCCAAGGGCCTCCTCCCTACTCGCTGGAGCCTCCATTCCCAGCGGGCTGGGAGCCAGAACTCCCAGCGATCCGGATTCAGCACGACCCTGCTACTCTGATCCTCTACCAGCCACAAAGCCACAGGTGAGGGCTCATTGCCTGGGCCGGCTCCTTCCAGCCTCACAGGTCCTTTCATTTCACGTCTCCACAAAACTGCCTCCCTATTGAGACAAGACCTGGAATTTCAGCTACTGTTATCACACGTTCGGTCCTGGTGATACTTTTTGAAACTTTGTTTAGATAGCATGACCTGCACTGCAAGATCATGCGTATATGAGTACTTTATACGGTATCTCATACATGGTAAAAACATATTTATATATTTTTTGTGGTACAACTACACTTCCTGTTTTTAAAGTTTATAAAGATATTTGAGTATATATAAATTATACTATTCATATGTACAACAAACAGATATCACAGTATTTTCCCTTGAGATACAAGGAAAAATACACCCCCCGGTAGGTGTAGTTCTCAGATTGTGTTTCAATGTCAAAAAAATTCTCCTTCTCTCCATCCAGATTTCAACCAAAGTATTTGCATACTACCCGCATGCCCATCAGCCCTTTAGTTCATACAGATTTATAAACCTCCTGGGCAGAGATTTGTGCAGCACTCTCCCATTTGGCAGGATTCTCTAGAGAAAGTTTGGGGATGCAAACTGCAGGTTCACATACCCTCCAATATTCAGATTGCCCTTGGAACCAGCAGTGCTGACACAGCTTGATGGACCTAGTGGTGTGAATTTGCAGGGCAGGAAGAGTGTCTGAATTTCTGCATAACATTTGGCACTTCCTAGATGCATCAAACACACCGCTGAGTGACAGTAGCTGACTGGGGTCGACAGCTGAAAATTGGATCAATGATATTAATAGCAATTATATAAACTGAAAAAAAAAAAAAAAAACAGAGCATAGGTATTACCAAGATGACTGGAACTTCCTGTAAGATAAAAGCTCTCAGTACATGCAAAATCAGAAAGGGTCTTCAGATAACTGTGCTGCTTCTGCATTAGATCGGGGCTGTCAACTTTTGCTTGCCTGAAACGCAATGATAGTAAAAGCCTCTGTCAAACAACGCTGCACCACACAAAGGCATGCAGGTCAATCACGGTCTGCGCACATCAGTCCAAAAGGAAAAGGTCCTTTAATAACGTCAGTGAAACCTGCCCAGGCCTGTGGGCAAATCCACATGTTAGGCAGGTCCTATCCCTGTTCAACAGCAAGACAGAGTGTCTCCATTCGTGTCTTCACCAGAGACTGGGGCTGAGTCGTACTCCATCATTTGGGGCATGGAATGGCTACTTAATAAAGTATCTTTCTTTGTATGATGCAATTTGGAAATTCCAGATTCTTCACAGCTGTCCTTTAGTACCTGGGGCAGAGACACCCGCACACAGCATTTTGTCACGTGCAGGTCTCTGAGCTATTGTTCCTCGTCTGATTTTTCAGAGAGATCTCATGAGGCTTGACTTGCTGACAGAGTTACACAAAACTTATCTCCCTTGCCATACGGTGCCCTGCAGTTTATGCTCCAGAAATGAGCTTCTTTGTGACTCATCTGCTGCATCTCTTAGTTCCTATCCTATTGGTATTTCCTGGGAAACCTCCAGTACTAAACAGCTGCTGTTGGACTTCTCAGGCCTTTCCATACTCCTAATATAAACTCTGACTCAAGCCCTTCTAGCACCTCCTATTACCCAGACCAAACACATCCCGTCAGTCAGCCCGGACTCACCGTCCCAGGAGAGCTCCCATTCCCCACCAGCCTCCTGCCTGTGCTTCACTCTCAGCTGCCTGGGCACGCAGCAGCTACCAGAAATGAGGGCTGAGCATTTCTGTCAGAACCTCCCCGCTGCTCAATTCCTAGCTTTCACCAACAGCTAATGTGTGTCCAAAATATTCATTTTTCATCTAATATTCATCAAAATATTCATTATTCATCTAATTTTCCTGAAGAACCCTCAACCATCAGCCAACAGACTGATTGAAGATTTGTGGGATCAGCCACCTTTGGACTTGAATGTTTGTCCTCAACAAAAGTTTCAAGATCTTCTTGGTCTCTTGGCCTCCTATACATTAGCACTGAGCAATTTCTTTATGCCTAGCAATGGCATTTGGCTTGACTCTTTGCATTTTTTGAAATTTGCCTTAGGTTAACTCTTCCTGGGCCACCTCTAAAGAATTTCAGATATCTAATCTAAGCCAAAAAGCTTAGTGGTTGGTGGCTAACATACTAAGCCAACAAATAGCATGTGCAACATAGGTTATCATCCAGAAAGTCCAGAGAATTGTAAGTCAAGTGGATTTCAATGTCCAGTTCCCTTTCCCACATTCCCACAGTAATCTCAGCACAACATTACCTCTTTTTAAAAAGTTTTAGTCCTTCATAATTGCCCATTTTAGGTATCATGAATGAGAAAAGCATTAGACACTGTTGTTAATGATCTTTACATGCCTTTACAGAACAGGACAGCACAGAAACGCACTAAAGCTGGATCAAGACCTACCAGTCTCAGGTAATTAAGACCAAAAGTCTCAGATGAACTTAGCTGTTAAAAGAGAAGTGATGGGTGGGAGAGGACCCCACCTATAGGGCCCATCCACCTCAGAGCACCCAAAGGCAGATGCCCGGGAAGAGCAGAAGGAACAGGCGGCGTGCAAGTGCACTCCAGCATTTTTCTCCACATATTCTTTCGACCTTCTCTTTGGCTCTGAAGTTTACAAAGCTCCTGCATGGAGCTACATCTTTTGCTTTGGTGTCCAAAGTACTTTTCCTCCAGGAAGCCCAGCTCCTTTTGAATACACCTAAATTTTCTGATACTTGAAAACCCCAAAACCTGCTGGGCAAAGAGCTGTACTGTGTGAGCTGGGGGCTGCACAGAACAACTTTTCTTTTGTGCTTGTTTCGTGCCTTCTGTCTTTCAGTGCCATCTGACCGCTGTAATCCTGTTCTGAAAACCTGGCAAACTGCTGCTCCTGATTTACCACCTCCACTCCAGTGACAACTTTATCTACCGCGTTCCCACTCAGCTGTTTCCCTTCCAGGCTTATCAAGCACTAACGGGTCAGGAGCAAAAGGAAAAAAACAGAGGGGGTTGGGGGGAAATTATGATGCTGATTTACAGACCAGATGTTTATAACAATTCAAGGGGACATATCCTCGGATGGGACACACTGGAGCAGTTAACCTCCAAAGCCCTATTACATAAAACCTCAAGGAAAACTTCCCTTAACGCTTCCCTCCACGAGCTTTCCTCTGGAACCAGTCAGGTTCACCCCGCAAAGAGACCTCAGATGCTGCTTTCTCCCCCTGAGGAAGGGAAGTTTTCTTTCAGGGTGCTTTGCTACTCTCATTTCCCCCCAAGCAGAAAGCCCTCTCTTCCTGTGCTGAAGAAGCGCGTAGGTGTTCTGGGCGCTCCAAAGGAAGCAACAGACTAACGGGCCGAATTGCAGCAATTTCCTGACAAGTGACAAAACACCAGAAACTCCCGCGGCGAGGCCGGCTCGCTACGAGAAGCCACGTTCGGCTGCGACCCGGTGCCGGTACCGCCGCACTCGCTCGCCCGCGCCTGCCCAGCCCCGCTCCGCGCCCCGCGCCCAACTTCGGCGGCGCTTCCCGCGGGGCTCCCCGCGCCCGCCCTTGGGCGCTGCGCACTCACC